GCAGATAGAGCCTAGCCTACAGTAGGCCTACATGTATTTCAGGATCGATGTTAAAATATACTTCATTTTTCGGAAGACTGCTTAGTATCAAAACCTATTAAATATGATTTTTTAGTATTGTTATTGAACAACTTAAGCTTACTTGAAAGAAAAAGTATTTTTTATGCACCGATTCTCCAAGTTCAAAACCCTCACGGCAAAAACTTTGGGCCCCATCCATCCATCCATCCATGTAATTTCTGATTTCGTTCATTTGTTGAAATTTATTTACTTAACTGACAGCCATCTCATTGATTGAGGTCGGCGCTGGATGCAAAAGATCGTAACATGGAGGATAAACAAGGCGAGTCTACCACAGATCTAGGCCTAACCTTGCCATGGAGCTGTTTAGATAAACAACTTAAATAACAACTCCCTGGTCTAGCTTATGACATTTTTATAGCTGATTGAATGCCATAATACATTGGCTTAAGATAAATAAATTTTGTTTCTTTGCTCTATGACATCGTGGAAATTACATTTGTTGTGGAATTTTCAGGAGAAAATTAATAAAATTCGGGAGGACGGGAGACGGCCTAAAAAATCAGGAGAAATCCACGATTTTCGGGAGACTTGGGATCTCTGTGTATGTTAGAGCATACTTAATGGTATCCATGATCTTTGTATACCTACGCTTTCATCATTTGGGATATATTATCATTGCTGGATAGTAAATGATAATTTTGCAAAATAAATACAATTTTAACCATTTGTGAATTGATTAATCACCATATTGATGTGAATATTTAATTAGTGACATCATTATTTAGCCAGTCAGATACACATTAAAAAATTGTCTCTTATTTAAAATTCCTATAGAAAAGAAATGCATTACTATTAGATTTACAGCTGTATTTTGACTATTAAAAAGTCATGGTGTTTCCAATTTATTTTGCTTACTGTATACTAGTTAATTTAGAGTTTTAATCTGAAGTAAAAGCACAAATACAGTATTTCTTTGTGTAGATTATTTTAATAATGACAGCCACTCATCAGAGACTTCTAATATTTCATAAATGTATCTGGTTTTTTAGCTGTCTATTTTGTTTGATAAGCACCCAATTTGAAGTTGGGGTTGCCTTTGGCCCTATAAAAAAAATTATTATTTTATCATCATCGCCCACATGTTTTTAGTATTGAAAAAATGTATATATTTTTTATGGGGGGGTGGGTGGAAGATTTCTTTGAAAACAAATTTGTTTCCATTTTTTTCTTCATTTATTTAGTGAATAGTTAGTAGATATTATTTGTATTACCTCAATCATATAGTTCATTTTGAATATCAATGCAGTAGCAAACAAAAACATAATAAAAACTCTCCCCCTCGTCACTTTTCCAGCCTAGATAGGATGATAAACTAATAATTTTTTTAAAAGGATAATCCAATATAGTGATTATTAACTTCCAAATCTATAATCTAATATCAAAATCATATTGTTTAATCAACAAATATATAAATAAAATTACTTAACAGGTGTAGGTTCAGAACTCAACAAATGTTTTTAATTTATCATTTGAGAAGATAAACATAATCCAAAGATTTATAGTCGGATTTTACTTCCATCTCAAAATAAATTATCTATAGCAAGTGCTTTACATGCATCACTGTTATTAGTTCAGGTAGAAAAAAATATTTATAAAATTTATACTTGTTTATTGGGCTATAATGCTCCTGAGAAGGAATTAATTCTGTTTTCAATAATAAATGAAGCGTGGTATTCAAAATAATTCAATTAATTATTTAAATATCCATCTAATCACATTCTCATTAATTCAATCATTCATTCTTTGTTCATTTATTAATTTGCTCATTTATTAATTTGTGATTATTTATTTATAAATGTATTTCGTCTCCAAATATGCGAGATTAACTGTTGCATTCCTTAATTCTATTTGCTCTTCCTGTTCTTCTAGTCTTGTAAAATTTAGGAATTACGGGTATTAAGAAATAGGCAATCGTTAATAGCTGTATTATATGTGTATGTCAATCCAATATTAGCTCAACATAGTTCTTTAATACATCACAAACTAAATTGAAAAACGTAAAATACACACAGATTTAGAATTGAAATTTTTTTTTTTTAAATAAAATACACACAAAATGAGCAAAAGCTGTGGAATAACTATTAGATTTTAGGCTCAAAATGCAAATGAAGTATGTATGCTTTACCAGGAATGATTACGCAACTAAAAGAACACAGCAAAATAATGTTAACTATAATGTATGGATGTTCATTTAATTGTATAATATTAATTTTGCAGATTCTTATGTCTATAAAATACAAAATACATTAATTAACCCTGTATTTATCTCTCCCCCCCCCCCTACGGTATTTCATTTGTGAATAAGCTCTTAAAATGCTTAAACACAGATGCTCAGTTTTGTTTTGTTTTTTTTTAATTAATATTTCTATGTTATTTGGTGACCTTTTCTTGAAAAGAACTTCCATATATTAGAAAATGAAATTAGAAATAAAAAAGAAATTCCTTCTTGAAATAACAGGCTTGTTTTAATGCTGATTCTATATTCTTAACACAGGCCCAACAATTTTTAGGTCATCAATTGAAGGAATTTCATTTTAAAACTTAAGTGATCAACAAAATCTGCATTGTGTATTTCTGTCTCTATCAGAAGTGGATAAGTTGTTTATTCCTATAAACGAACAATTCAACAGTTTAATTTGATTTTTTAGGATGTAGGACAAAAGCCCTCGAGGATAACACACACTTTAATGTAACATTTTCCTTGAACATGTAAAGTTTGGGAAATAGTAAAAGATAATTTATTGTCAAAAAAATTAGTATCAATGAGAATTGTACTTAAATTAATGTCTATAGTTTATAAAAATAGTTTTATTTCAGTTCATTTGTATATTTCCAGACAAAAACATCAATAAAACTGCGAAACGGAAACGGATTAAGACAGGCTTGTGGATAATCTGAATGTAAACATAATTACATTTGAGAGTCTCTCGAAAACAAGAAAGCAAAAACATCATAAAATATTCTCTAAATATTAGCTTCATCTGAGATAGTAATTAATATAAAATTTACATGTTTACAACTGTTTTTTTATTGACACCTGCTTCATGGAAGTCATTTGTTGTCAAAAAGTAATAAATGTGTTCTATCAGAAAAAAAAAATTTTTTCAAGATACTTCCAATAATAATTTCGTAGAAACTAATGTTTAATTTTAAAAAAACCCAGTAATAAATGGTTGGTAGAGTTGTTAGAGTAAAGAATTTAATGAAATAATTCTTGTCTAGAAATTCTCTATTGCCTACATCTTTATTTACATTGCGAAACGCTTTTAAAATCCAATCTTCGGTGTTTAAAAAACCTTTAAATGTGCCAAATCCATTATCAAAGTCTAAAGTGTCAAGTCTTTATTTTTCTCTTTGTTTTCTATCTAAATATTATGCTAAGCTTTTGTCACGATTTCATACCTTTGGCATTTTGTTTTTAAATTTCTGTTTTTAATTTGGATTAGTATGGCCTACAGGAATAAGCATCCATAAAATGAGACAGGTCTAAAAAATTCTTAATGATCTTAATCATTCTTGATAGAGAAACTGTCATTTATTGAGTAAATAATCTTTACATATTCAGTAGATGTATTGTTTATATAACACATGCAATCATTCATTTGATAATACCCTCGAATCTAGACTGTTTATAATACAGTAAACTCCACAAAATTACCTTTATGTCTTTGAAAAGAGTGATGTTTACAAATTTTTAATCCTTTACCTAATGACAATATTCAAACTATGGACTTACTTTTTACACATAATACTTAACTACATTTACATAACTACATGTTTACATATTTTAATCCTTCACTTTAACACGTTTATATTCAAACTGTGAACTTGCTTTTTTATACGTCATACTTTAACTACATTTATATATATATATAACTACATGTTTACATATTTTAAATCCTTCACTTAATGGTTATATTCAAACTGTGGACTTAATTTTATAAATTTATCATACTTTAACTACATATACATAACTACATGTTTACATATTTTAATCCTTCACTTTAATGTGTTACTCAAACTGGACTTTTTATACATCATACTTTACTACATATACATAAGTACATGTTTACATATTTTTAATCCTTCACTTTAATGTGTTTTTATTCAAACTGTGGACATACTTTTTTATACATCATAACTGTAACTATACTACATGTTTACATATTTTAATCCTTCACTTTAATGTGTTGTTCAACTGTGGACTTTTTTATACATCATACTTTACTACATATACGTATACATGTTTGCATTTTTTTAATCCTTCACTTTAATGTGTTTATATTCAAACTGGACGTTTTTTATACATCATACTTCACTACATCAGGTGTTCCTTATTGGGATTGTCCCAGAGAAATTAGTTATCCTTTTTAGTAATAATATACTTAGATGACAGCCAATCACCATCAGCTCTGCTAATTATTCAAGACGTTTCCTTATATGGTGTACTGCCTTATTGGATGTTCAGTGAACCTTGACCAGGTTTGACCCCTTGGGCATTAAAGTCAGTGGAATAACATAGTTTCTAATTTCTATGCTCAAAAAGAATTTTTAGAGAGATCAGAACTATTGTGCTATCTATTTTCTGTGAAACATTTATATGTAGTGTCTGATATTGATTTCTTACAAATTGTAGAATATATAACACTACCTTTCAAGTAAATGTTTAGTTGTATACGCATTGGTTGTTTAATATGTTATGTTGTTTTTCTTTTACACAGTAAAATGTTATATAATATCAAACATACTATATAGTTTATTTTTCTTACTAAATAATAGTAGGCATTCTTATCACTTCAATTAACAGTTTTTACCACCCAATATCTCAAATGTATCCTCCTACTAAATACATTGTTTATCTTTTGTAAACAAAGTGAAATTCATTTTGTGCTTTCCATTTGGTTCATTTCTGATAGCTTGGACACCATTGCATGAAGCCTGTAATCACGGATCCTATGAAGTGGCTAAAGTGTTGTTGAAAGCCGGTGCCTACGTCAACACGCAGGGACTCGAAGATGATACTCCACTCCACGATGCAGCTATCAATGGCCACGTTAAGGTGAGAAAACTAATGAATGATACTAATTAATCAATATAAATTTATGATGGTATGAATTTTGTTTAAAAGAATATAATTTTTTTGTTTTGAATATAGAAATCATTTATAAATTTTGTTTAAAATGTGGAAATGGATTGTGTGACTAAATATAAATTTTATCCATCAACTTAGCTTTCTTCACTGTACCAGCTTCTTCAAATATTGGAATATTATTTGTAGGTTTTCTCATTTTATTGGATATTTTTCTAACACTGATAGTTTTCTTGGATCAGCTGATTTGATTATCTGAGAAATTTGTTTTGTCATTACATTTTTTTTGCATATTAATGCCTGGTTTGCTACAATAAGTTAGAGTTTATAAAATTCACATCTTCAGTTGTGAAATTCTTTTACTACTTTGTTGATCCATGTTGAAAACCCCAGAAACAAATGTAGAAATAGCTTAGTAGCTTCACTATGATGACAATGAAAATTGCAAATTTGAAGGTTTATTTTTCTTACTAAATAATAGTAGGCATTCTTATCACTTCAATTAACAGTTTTTACCACCCAATATCTCAAATGTATCCTCCTACTAAATACATTGTTTATCTTTTGTAAACAAAGTGAAATTCATTTTGTGCTTTCCATTTGGTTCATTTCTGATAGCTTGGACACCATTGCATGAAGCCTGTAATCACGGATCCTATGAAGTGGCTAAAGTGTTGTTGAAAGCCGGTGCCTACGTCAACACGCAGGGACTCGAAGATGATACTCCACTCCACGATGCAGCTATCAATGGCCACGTTAAGGTGAGAAAACTAATGAATGATACTAATTAATCAATATAAATTTATGATGGTATGAATTTTGTTTAAAAGAATATAATTTTTTTGTTTTGAATATAGAAATCATTTATAAATTTTGTTTAAAATGTGGAAATGGATTGTGTGACTAAATATAAATTTTATCCATCAACTTAGCTTTCTTCACTGTACCAGCTTCTTCAAATATTGGAATATTATTTGTAGGTTTTCTCATTTTATTGGATATTTTTCTAACACTGATAGTTTTCTTGGATCAGCTGATTTGATTATCTGAGAAATTTGTTTTGTCATTACATTTTTTTTTGCATATTAATGCCTGGTTTGCTACAATAAGTTAGAGTTTATAAAATTCACATCTTCAGTTATGAAATTCTTTTACTACTTTGTTGATCCATGTTGAAAACCCCAGAAACAAATGTAGAAATAGCTTAATAGCTTCACTATGATGACAATGAAAATTGCAAATTTGAAGGATTTGAAGGATATGCAGATTTTCTTTTAGCTGTGGAGTTGTAGCTTGGTGCCTTGCCTTCCAGTCCCAGGATTCTGATTCAAATCCTGTGACACCTTGATTTGTTTAATTATGTGATCAAAAATAAGTTCAAATCATAAACGAAGACTTATTGTTGTAGTGGAAAATAACTTGCTGTTTGATGAGAATGAAATATGTAACTAATTATAAAAATAATGATTTTGTTTGTTTTTGTTTTTTTTTTGTTTTTTTTTTGGAAGAAGCATTATGCAGCTGCACAATGTTAACAGAACGAGAAGAACTTGCTATTATAGTCTACTTCGTCAAAAACAAGTTCCCTTTTGCAAATCTCTTGAAACTCCACTTGCCCTCTTATATTATTATTAATACACTTGGGATGGACAACCATATTAGTCATATATATGGCTAAGATTATAATTGATGTTACAGTTGGAATTTGCTCTACGGAAACAAGCATTATATAAACAACATGGTTTGGTCTCGTCTAGGTCACTGTGAAGCCTGTAAAAATATGAAATTGGCAGGTTTGTTGAGTGTGAATATAGACAGTAATAAATGGTGTTTTTTTATGAGAAATGAAATGTTGTCAAATATATGGTTTATTTTTGCTTCATTTATTCAACCAGAGTATATAGACAGCACAAATACATGAAGAATACCTTGACCATTTTCTAAGGTGGATGTGTACGCTATAAATCATATTTATTATTGTATTATTAAGTGACCAGTGGTCAAGATCAATATAAAATGTTGACTAAATAACTACATAGAATCAGCTGCCTCTCATTCTAAAGGCTAGTTATAGAGGAGCATATCAATCCCTAAATTGATGATGACATCAATTCCAGCCAAAACCATCTAGTACATCCTGACCCTGTTACCATGGTAATATACGATTAGACAGCTTAGTTGGAGGAAAGTTTTAGCAGGAGGATGTGCCCCCTGTAGAGAGCTGAAAGCTTATTTATTAATGAGCGCTGAGATAGCTTCTAACAACTCAAGCCTAACATCAGCCCTGGTGTACAGAGAAATAGAGTTGAAAAGGTCAGATGTAGATGTAATAATACTCGCAGTGGAGTATTAAAATATACTCTGGTAGAATGTTTATGTTAGTTTGTGTAAGAGCATTACAGCTATATATTGCATACTCGTCAAAAGCAAGCATGTTGTTGAACTTACAATACATTTTTTATGAGCGGAGATAAGTTGAACATTTTCAATTACTGGATATTGTAGCATGTTCATCCGTACTGACGTACAGTAGGGCAGACATGCGTCTATTATTATTGTTATTATACATATATTATCAGTGTCATTGCTTTTAATGAAATTCTATTCTATAAAGTAATGCTGTATCACAAGATATGTTTAATAAATGTGATGTGAAATATCGAGTATAGAATAATTGTTAAGTTACTTTAAATTATTTGAAGTCATCTAACATCTAGGTATTAAGTAATTACTATATCACTTTTTATAGATGCCCTTTGCAATATTCAGTTACAAGTTGTAATTATTAATGAGTATATGGTAATACTGTATTGTAATATTATACTGTGGTGGATTAAAGAGGCAGGTCACGCCCCCTCCCATTCACTAAATATTTCAAAATTATATTTAAAAATGGAGAAAAAAAATGAAAATTATAAAATTTAGGTACGAGAATGCCATTTCTGGCCATCTAAAGTTCATAATCATGAATTTTCTTACCTAAGCCCCAACCATGGCGGGACTGAGGTGATCTGTGAAAGTCCACCCCTGGCTGCCCTTTCCCACTATTTTGATTTCCTAGATTTGACATTGTTTATAACAAAAGGTTATTTTAGTATTGAATCTATCTTTTATTCATAGAATTTATTCAGTCTTGAAAAACCCCTTAAATTAGAAATTCTGCCTCCGGGCATAATACCTGAATGTAATATTAGAGTGTGATAAAAGCAGAACCTTACACTACAGTCCACCTGGACAAACTAGGTTAGTTCTCTCGTTGCTTGTAGGCTAGGTGCATGCTACACACACAGCCTGATACTGGATTCATGGTAATTATTGATGCTGGGTCTAAAGATATGATGGTTTTTTTTTCTTGAGACATACAAAGGCGAAGTTATTATTAGTATTTATAAATTAGCATTTAATGTCCAGAGCAGTTAATTATACACTTTAATTAGCCATTATTCTATAGGACTAAGAATCGCATGGAACGTCACAACCTAATTAGCTTTTAGCAAACTGCAATTGTTGAAACATGGCCCAGTATACTAAGCAAGTGAAAATGTATTTTTGATTATGAGGCTTACGGAGTGCAACTGTTTTTTTAGTCATGTAAAAAAAATATCCCGATTTATTTTAGTACTAATATAGGACTTGAACCTGGGATACCACCAAGCATATGTTTACTTCTCCCTCCTCATTTACTTTTTTATAGTAGTATGATGCTACCCATTTTTTAAATCAACTTTTGTAAGACATCCAAATTTCATATGAAAATATAATGATTCTTCACAAATGGAAAGTATAATTTTCTTTTGAATAGTTTGTTTCATGTGGAATAATTTACATAATGATTATTTAAATAAAAATTAAAATATGGCATTTCTATAGTAGCACAGGCCTCTATCATCTGCTAATTGCCCAAGGGCTGATAGTGCTTGATAAAAACAAACTAATTTCGAAATATATTGCAAACTACGAATGAATTATACATTTATCAATTTATATATTTTATTCATTAAGGCATATAGGTCAAGGATTGCCAATAACAAACTTATTCACTGTCTTAAATAATAAGTAGCTATCCCTTTCACACAAAAAAAAAAACTTTTCAAAAAATGCATAGAATTAGCATAAAATGGCTGGGGTAAGAGATTATGTCAAATACAAAATCACATTCAACTAAAAAGTTGGATGGTAAATGACAGTAAGAAAGATATCAAAAAAAAAATTGTTATGGCTGTTGGAGAGGTTTTTGAGACGAAGACCTGATGACCTCATATTGCTAGTGCAGACTTGGCAATGAGCCAAGCTGTATCCTTCCTCTGGGTAGTCAATTGCATCCTCTCTGAGATTCTGAAAGCTTTAGCAGACCAGAAGCTGCGTACATCCTAGTGTGTCGGGGGGAAAAATACCATACACTATTCGTATTATTCAGCTACAGTAGTTCCATGCTTATAAGCCCCCTCCCTACATTATGCTCAATTTTATGTACCAGCCTTCCCTCGGGCAAAAGCCCAGGGTTATGACCTTTATTAATATCCTCAGAAAGACTCATAAAATATTGGCTTTGAATTAAGTATATATTGCTGAAAATTGCCATTTGATTAAAAAGGGCCCACTCCCAAAATTTGTTTCCCCCAATTTTTGTGTTTGGGAGGATAAGGGGGGGAGGGGGTGTGCGCTTGTACCATGTAAACTTCTGTAGAGTACATATGAATCTCGCCCAATTCCATGTTTTTGTATTAAAACCTGAACAGTGAAATTCATCATTATTTTAATAAATAAATTTGAATTAACTAGTTAAAGTAATTAGATTTCATTTGAGAATTAGAACACGAACATATGTTCCTCCCCAACAAGTTTTGCATAATTAATTATTCTTTGTATATTTTTTGCTGTAGGCCTAGAGGTAGGCTTTGATTTAGGTTAGTAGGACTACCGTAGCACGACAAATGTTTCCCACTGCCTGTATGTACGGTAAACATTTA